TTGGATCGTCAACTTCCACATCATCATCATATATAATTTCTTCACCACGGTCGTTTGGATTAATAATAGCACCAACTACTGAATCGTCAAGATCTCCTTCGTTTTTGTGATAGAATTCTACATTTTCTTTCGATTTAAAATCATGAAATGTTCTCTCCTGAAATATGATATCACGACTTCGAACAAACGATTTCTTCTCCAGGTCGTATAGTTTGTAGCCTTTAGTTCCTTCTGGATACCCTACAAACACGCACTTGGAAGACTTCTTATCCAATTTCTTTCGCGTAGCATCAGGGATGTGCTTAAAAGCAATGCATCCAAAAACTCTCAAATTGGATACGTCCGGTTTCTGACCAATCATTCTCTCATATGGTGTCACTTCCTTCAGGGGACTTGTTGGACTACGGTTGTGGACATATGCAGCTGTATGGACTGCCTCTGCCCAAAATTCTTTTGGCATACCGGCATGAAACATCATTGAACGAGCAGCTTCAACTAGTGTTCGATTCATTCTCTCTGCGATGCCGTTCTGTTCAGGGCAATGTGGAACAGTTGTTTGATGTATTATTCCCTTTGCTTTCAAATAATCATCAAATGCTTTCGAGCAGTACTCGCCACCATTGTCTGAACGAAGATTCTTCACCCGTTTACCCGATTGTTCTGCTTGATTCACATATTGCTTGAACTTCTCCAACACTTCATCTTTACTCTTAAGAAAATACACTTCCGTATATCTCGAATACTCATCAATGAAAGTAACAAAATACTGCGATTTCCCAAATGATTTTACGTTCATTGGACCGCATACATCACTATGAACTGTTTCAAACAATTCAGTAGGTTTCGTGGAACTCTTCTTAGGATATGGCGTACGGTGTTGCTTTCCCTGGACGCACGCTTCACACACATCAGACATATCAGCATCCTTTGCACTCGACATACCTTCAACCATATTCTCATTGATTAATTTAGAAATATTGTCCATTCCTAAATGTCCAAATCTACAATGCCATAGTTCCATATTTGGGTTATTCTTCTTTGTAACATTGACATATTCCTCTGGAATAACTTTGAGCATATATAACTTTTCATGCACTGTTCCTATTCCAATCAGTCTTGAATCCTTAGAAATTCTACATTCATCTTCTTTGAACACAACAGTTGCTCCCAATTTACTCATAGCTTGAACTGACAACAAGTTCCTTTTCAGCTCAGGTAAATAAAGCACATTTTTCAAAGCAATTTTCTGACTGTATCCATTCAAATCAGTCGATAAGCGATATGTTCCTTTTCCATAAGCTAAGATAACTCTATCATCTCCCAAATTTACCTTGCACGGTCGCTTGAATTCTATGTACTCAGATAAATTGTCTCGTTCATATGTCATATGCTGGGTCGCACCAGAATCAATAATCCAACCACTCTGATTTTCATTACCAGTTGTAATCAAAGCTATTTCATCAACATCTTTTTGGTCACATGACTCACCCTCAGCACAGTTAATTGACCCTTTACCTTTGTTGAAATTAGGAGAATTATTGTTCTTGCGTTGTGGACAATCTCGAGCATAGTGTCCTCTCTTTTTGCAGGAATGGCAAGTTCCTCTGAACGAACTTTGGTTGTCATGTTCATTCTTGTTTTCCTTCGGCTTGAATCCTTTTCTGTGATATGGTCGATGAACATTGTAAGCATCCTCTTTCTTTGTAACCGAGACTCTGTCAGCATCATTAAGCAACATTCCTTTTACCTTCTCGAAGGTCAGTTTGTCCTCTCCCACTGCATCCAAAGCAGTAATAAGTGGGTTGTAGTTTTCAGGCAAACTTGCGAGCAATGTCATCGCCAATTCTTTATCATCATATTGTACACCCATCTCCCTCAACTGATCATGAAGAGATTTAATACGATTGATATGATCTAGCATGTTCTCACCACTTTTAAACCGACATGAATAATATTGCTGGCGTAATCTGACTACTTGCGATATGGAGACTCTTGCAAATTGATTTTTCAGTGCATCCCACGCTTCCTTGGCCGTACTCGTATCCCTCACATGAATTTGTTGTTCAGGTTCAACTGCTAGGCAAATATACGTCCAGGCTTTCTTTGAGGCTGACCTAAATGCTTCCCTCACCAGTTCAGACGCATCTTCCGCTGGATTCTCGACAGATCCATCAGCATGACCAAACAAATCCATACTTTCAAGATAGAGACGCATGTTGAATGCCCAATCTCTATAATTTTCTCCATTTAACTTCGTAATTTTAAGTAAAAAATCTTTCGACGTCGCCATAATTAGTTCGACAAATTTTCGCCTTTATTCAAACCATACATTTTCAAAATACATAAAACCATGCTCCAGAGACATATTGGAATGTCCTGGGCCCATAACCTATTGAAATAGTTAACTACATTCTCGAGATTGAAAAGGATTTAATATAATATAAACTTCCTACATGTTGTACAGAAAAAATGTGTTCTTCCAGAGAGATAAAGTCACGTGTCCAAGATCCTAAATACTATTCTAATATGAAGTACAGCATGCATATAAATGTGATTATTATCCAAGCAATGTCCTAATATATCCTACATTTACATTTCTTAACACATACGAGCCATCGACATTAAGACCGTTTTCACCGAGTATAAACGAGAAAAGATATTGATATGTTTCCTCATCTCAACATTCGATTTATCTTTCGCTCCTCTAAACGCATCTCTTCTTTCTTCCTTTCAGGGAGAAAGTTCCTAAGTTTCTGAGATCTGGTGTTGTATATTTAAGTGTCGATGCTGTTCTTCGTCGTATGTGGGTCAAACCATGCGCCATTCACACACCAGAGTATCGGAACACCTGGGACTCACTCCTATAACAGGACAGCAGTCATCCAGTCCAGTCATGTCTAGTATTTCTCTAACTTAAATACTACAGGTCACTCTGCCAACTTTGACTTCAAAATTCTTTCCTCAGACACACTTGTGAATTATTGATTCACGAAAGCCTTCTTATATCTAAGCTCAAACCCTCTCTTAACGTCCAGGGCAGCTCTATTCCGCTTAACCTTCTGTAATTTGCCGTTGTCTTGTGTCAGTTTTGTTTCCTCATTTGTATCGTCCTGTCACCATACACCCTCTTATCCTTTATTATCCTTAGTAACATAATTAATAAACACCTTGTAAATGGATTATAATTAGCTTATATATTTTCAAATCTCATGTAATTTTATCTAGTCCGAATATGTCTTAAGTTAATGACGAAACGTTACAATAAAAAATCCTTAAAATCTTAACTGTACTGTTTTAATGATTTTGTTAAAAGTTATATGTTGGGCTCTCATATTTATCATAAGAATTCGTTTTCATAAGAATTCGAATTTGGCAACGATGTGGTTAAAATAATTTGACCATTATATAGGCCTCGGCGTGCCTCCTTCCCCAAACCCCACTTCCAAACATACACCGTGATCACTGTGATACCATGCATGAAATACACCATTCGAAGAAATACAGTAGAAAGTATAATGATATGGAGTATGCAACTTGTACACTAAATTTGCAAACGATTTCGTTTATCAAGCAACATCCACCCGGATTAATTCGAAGGACTGAGAATATTCCTACGTGATATGAGCTAGATATGAGCATAATAGGGCCATTTATACCGGACAAAATAAGTCGCGTCTTACATAAGACGCGTCTTATATAAGCTGAGTTATCGCATAAATGGTTCTCTATGGATTTATTTTTATTTACTTGCTATAGCTATAATGTTGTTTCGGTTGTTTTTGTTTTAATATGCAAGGCTAATCATTTTACGTTGTTTCAAGTTTCGGGCACGTGTAGTTAGAATTTTTGTCTAAAATTTCTTATTTAAGACGCGACTTAAATAAGAACAGCTAAAAGTCCTGTTCTTATGTAAGACGCGTCTTATCCAAGACGCGTCTTACATAAGAATTTTGTACCTTTTATACGACAAACTCGCGTCTTATTTAAGTCGCGTCTTATGTAAGTCGCGTCTTATTTTGTCCCGTATAAATGGCCCTAATATGTGCTTACATAAAATAACACATAAAACACCTAAAATACATGAAATAATAAAAAAAATAATAAAAAAATAAAATAATAATAATTCAAAAATAAAAAGTAAACACTTCTTGACGTAAGTCGATGTCATATACTACGTACAGTACAATATAAAAGTCAATTTCTCAAGCAAATTAACTGGTAAAATTCATGCTTTATAAACATTTGCATATTATAGTAAAATACATATTGAAAGAAAACTTCAAAAGTGAACTCACTTGATCTGAAGGTGCCCGTGTAGTTAAATGTTGCACCACCATCCAATGACAACTCAACTGAGATGCGACCAACAACATACAATGGTGGAGTGATACAATATGCTAGTTCTGCACTGACATACACAGCATCTGCCTCAATAGTCTTGTTAAACCGACATACAATTTGATCATCAGGTTTATAACAAGGTCCACCAATAAATATTTCAGTTCCTCCTAATTCGATTCCTGATCTCGGTGAGAGCACCAGACCTATATACGGGGTGTAATTTTTATACCCTTAATATCAGTTATATAGTTGTTTTGACTATCAAAGGAAAAGTTTGATGAAGCATAATCATATTGTGATTATTAGACATATTTTAAGACATTAAGTTGTCGATTAGATCATCACACACTAATTTACTTATCAATCTATATCATCGTCAGACAAATTTAAGAATTCATTAGGTATAGACTATATATTGGAAAGTAGACTGTGATGTATATCAGTTGATACCTGTAGACTAATTCAGCTATACTAATCTAAATCTTCCGCAGATTATTTAGGAATTTAAGAAATATCTAATCACCTTCTGACTAATTTGTTATTATTTCGTTAGTTTGGCCGTTAGTAAATTAGTCGGAAGATGATTCAGTTTCTTGACATTATATTTTGGGCAGCGTTCATTGACTATGTCGATCGGGGGAGAGGGGTCTGAAACACAATAGGGGGGAGCTATACGAATTTCTTAGACAGACATGGGAGAGGTTTCAAAAAGTCAAATGTTGCCGGGGAAGGTAATAAAGAAATATTCTTGAGAAGTGAGATAATTTATACAAACACATTACATGTTTAATTCCCCATCTCCTTTCTGTACTAAATAATATTATCTGGTGCTTCTTTTCAAATATTTCATTAATATTTGATTGCAATTATGATTCTTAGTGGGGAGGCTGTTAAAATTTTTATCTCATACCTAGCGTATTAGCGGCTTTCCTATTGGCTACGAGGAGGTGCGTTCAATATCGAACCCACCTGCTGACGTATGTTTAGGAAGTGGGTTAGAGATCGATGTTTCGGCGGCCATTATGATACGATTTGAACAAATTTCAGATGAAGATTTAAATAAAAATTATTAACTGTTTTTAATTGTTTCACAATTATTATTTTTTTATTTTGTGTGATGAAAATGGAATATTCTGTATTCAAAGTGGAAGAGAAGAAAGATGGCCGCCGAAATTTGTTCGGCACGGGCAGGTTCACTTGGCAATGTTTTCGCAGAATGTGTGCATTTTCTCTTTTCAAGAGTAAGGGAGTATTGTAGAGAATTTTTTTACTGAGCTTTAATTTAAGCCTAACTTTGTCTGTTCGCTTAGTATGTTGATTGTTGGCGGCTAAAATGTTCATTACACAAACAAGAATTAATTATATACTAAAATGCGTAAATTCTTCAGCACTTTTTACTGAAATGACATGTGATAAAAACCAAACATACTTGCAGGTTCGGTGAATCCGGAATTGGACGCACCCGAATCCGGAATTGGACAGCTTCCAGCCACCCTCGCTGCGTCCAATGCCGGACTCACTTCCCTGCAAGTATGTTTGTTATATTGTCCCTCAAGAATGGGAGGTTATAGAAATATTCTAAAAATTATCTGAGTGTTGCCAGCCCCCCTCCCACTACTCGACATAAATAATGAAAGCTCCTTTGCTGTGTATCAGTTAATAACTGCATTTAGTCGTTTTGGAGGTGCAAGGTATTAAAACTTCAAATCGTTAGTATTGTTAACTGAAAAGATCTACAGTCGAGAAAAATTGTACCACTATTTGATGTGCAACCATGATTTTCAACAGACTCCCCATCGACTTGGAATATCCACAGCCCGGGATCTTGATAGTTTGATGTTGAAGTGATGTTGATAATTGCAGGATTGCGAGAGTTTGGAATATTGAAATATCTAAACCCGTCACCAGCGTTAAAACCAGCCTAGAATAAAGAAAATGTGATTTCAAACGACATGTCAGTCAAACTTCAAACGACAGTCAAACTTACATTATATACGGAAATATTTTAGTCAATGATTAAATACTATTTTTATTAAATTATGTACGGAAATATTGTAGTACATATTGTCCTTTACCTGGGCAGGGACACTGCTTGAAGTACCAAAGGTCCATTCAATTTTATTGTAGTAAAAAATTGAAAACGAATTTATACCATCTGTTGCCAATATGGTCTGAAATGCATTCTATAGGGAAAAAAACTTCTTTGGTGTTTGGAAAAGAAGTTGATACACTGGAACTTCATTTTATATACAATAACAATGGAATTAAACTCTGCATAATTATCAAAGTAAGTGAGTATTTTGCAATATTTAGAATATCAGAAGCTGTGTTGTATTGCAAAATATACTGTAGTATTTGTAACATAAACCATACCATGTAGCTAAGTAAGTTATCTCAATACACTAAATAACCTGAACCTAACTTTCAGGGGTCGATTATTCAAAGCATGCACGATTATTGCTAACCTTTAATGATTAAAATTTCACTGGGTTTTTTATTTGCATAATTATTTGTGCAAGCCTGTACATTTCCAAACTTCGGAAAATAGGACTTCTATTGATCCGGAAACGGTTTGGGGAAAATATAATTTCTAAATTCATAAACAATCTGTTGCGAAGTTTGATTTCACAATTTCACTAAAGGCCCTGTCACACTATTGCGTATGAGAGAAACGTATGAGAAGCGTATCAAAATTAATGAAATAATTTTTATACGCACAAAAGTCCTTTGAAATGCAAGCGTATAAGTACCGTACATCTGGCGTACCTCTAGCGTATTCAACGTGTGCCTAGAGTATGCCTATCGTATAAACGAGACGTCCGAATACCCCCAAAATGTTTGAGCATGCTTAAAAAAAATTTTCTGCCTGGCCG